CTGCGTGGTCAGTTATTCTATGAGCGCGACGAGGCAAGAGCGTCGTCATTGAGTGCTGTGGTGAGGAAGCTCTGAAGAACATAGGGATGTCATCGACATTCACAGAGTGAGCCGAAGCCCTTGAAAGGCAGTCGGCCTAGTTGTGAATATTCAGGCGAACGCTGGCGTTGTTGACTCTCCTACTTGGAATCACGTTTTGGTATGCGAACTGGCGTCTTCTTTCACTAAGAGTGACGTTAAGAAAATACGAGGGGCTATGCTCCGAATCACTGAGGAGGAGGAGGTGAGGATCAGGGGCCCATCTAGTTTTGAAAAATAACGTCCCCTAGGGTTTGAACATTGACATGGGAAACTGATTGAAGAATGTATTCCTAGCCATCCGTGGAAAATTCAAAGTGAGTTCCTCCCCGGGAACATTATAGGTTCCTGAATGGTTCCCTGAGGAGCATGAGTTCCCCCCAGGTAGTCTGCTCAGTGAGCTCTAAGTTTTTCGCGGATAAGACTATGCTGAGCTTGTCATCGGACGCCGAGACTAGCGCTATGCTTGCTGAAGTACTCGATGGACAAGGAGTGAGGAAGTTCATGAGCTTCTATATGGCAGGGTCAGTCGGGAGCGGTATAGTTGTGTTGTCGGCGTTGGACTTTGATAAACTCATACACGCACTGAGTGCTAGTGGATAAGTTTTTGGAGGTTTTCCGGTTGGTGTGGTATGGTTACGCATTAAATAAAATATCAAGACGAAAGATCGTAATAAGGGTGCGTCGAAAATGAAATAACTACAATTTATCAACCCTTTTCTGGGAATCTTCCCGAGCGTGTCAATTTCGATATGCGAGTGCTTTGGCATACATCTCTACTGTGCTTGCCGAAAAACTCAGTGGAAGATTTTCTTCCGGCTGCGTGACTGCATTACTTCAGGTACTCCCCGCAAGTTTTGGATATGCGTTTCCGAGTGCCTCCAGGAGTTGCCGCTGAAACGCATCTTGAAGATTTCAGAGCAAGGATTCGCTTGAAATTAAAGGAAGTGCAGTTTTCATTCAATTCAGAGGAGAACGCTGACCAGGTGAAATCACCATGCGTGTAAACTGGGTGGTGTTTTTCTCAGATCTCGGTAACGGTTCCGAATATTAGAGTTTCATTCGAGTATATAATAGTTAATCATTATATCTATGCTCTGTTAAAGTTTCAGCTCAAAACTCTCATTCGTTGACGAGAAACGCAGATTTGTCGAATTTGCCTAGGAGAGAATACGCTCCTTAGTCTGCTTCAGTGAGTAGGATTTGTTCTGCCCGATGATGCAGTGTTGAAATATATGTTTGCTTTCCTCAGCTGAGCTCAGGAATTATAGGAGTTTACAGTGAAACCAAAGAGAATTCTGATATTTTCACCAACATATGTAGTTGACCATGTGCGTATTTTTCCACACAGTGACGATGAGTATGGAAAAATATAAACATATGTTGGCGACAATGTAAAAATTCTGAGGAAATTTTAGGAAATTCTGGAGGGTTACTTTACATTTCTACCCTAGTTTGTATATAAACTCCTACAATTAGTGAGGAAACTCTCAAAATCAGCTGAGGAAAGCAAACATATATTACAACACTGTCATTGACGGTGGCTGGTCAGTTCGCTTTAAATCTGAGATCTGATCAGCGACTGCGAGTGTGACGGTCAGGAGACGTATCCAGTTCGAGCGTCCTGGTGCCGAGCCTACTCCCAGACTGGCCTCACAGGGCGGGCGCGATGGCGCTTCGTCTTGCATAAGGTGAATATCGACATGCCCACATTGCAAAGTCATCTCGAGCGAAAGCTGAAACTCCCACGGGACTCTCTGCACTTCGCTGGGTTGAAAGACAAAAGGGGACTCACATATCAGTACGTGCCAGCATGGTCGCTTTCCTCGGCTGAGTTTGAAAGTTTTCGAGTAGAAGTATACAGAAACCAATGAGAATTTCCCAAAAATTTCCTCGGAATTTCCATGTTGTCAACGACGACACATGCAGTACATGTAGCTCGTGCCACGGAGCGACCTAACTAGGTCTTTCACCTTGTATTAGGTTCGCCACTTTACCAGCTACACACAGCCCAGCAGAGATCCAGTTCTCCATAGAGGATCTATGCAGCACTCTCAAGCGGGGTTGGGCACAAGTTGATAATTTCGAGGCCGATAACACGTCCCGGAAGCTCCAGTACGGGATGCTCATGGGGTAGGTGAGTTCTGTCCAACGGTGACTCCGATGTATGTGATCAGGAATTTCTTCCGCGTGCGCGTTCGTGGAGTCCAAAAGGGCGCGTCGGAGCGGCTGGAGTCCCTGCGGAAAGTCGGCTTTATCAACTACTTTGGTCTGCAGCGTTTCGGATGGGCCCTGGACGGAGGCTCTCAACATGTTCGATCGTTTACCTCGGCAAATGGTGTCTTACAGGTCCTTCACAGGTTCGTATCGGTGGAGCCATTTTATGTAAGGACTACAAGAGGGCTATACGGAACTGGATGAAGCCACCGGAAGGGGACGACACTGTGCAAGCTGAGGTGGCCTCAATGGTTGTTTGGGGAACTGCCAGGCTACGGTCCGTGTTAGGTATTCAGGCAATGGTTACTGGATGGCGATTCGGCAAAGGCTGTATCGTCGCTCAGGCATCTGTCCACTGAGAACAATAGAGACCTCAACTGGTGGCAATCTCGAATCGATATTCGTTCCCTCACTCGTTGCAGGTGGATCGACGCGCTTCTGATTGTTGGTGATGACGGTGAACATTGGAAGTATCGTCAAGCAGTGAAACGGCTCCCGCGAAGTGTTATTCATCTTTTCCCCAATGCATACACTGCGTGCTTATGGAATCGCCTCGCGAGCCGGTGAAGAAAAAATTCCATTCAGTTTGTTCTGTTATGTCGGACTTTCTCAGGCGTATAAAGACAGGAGGCTTGACTGTGCAGGTGGGCGACCTCGTTGCTGTTGGCGCTGGCGACAACTTGGAGGAGCTTGCGCTTGTCCAGTCCGAAGAGGAAGCGCGCAAGTATGGAGTTCTTCGATGTGCGAGCACCACTGCTATGAAGGCATCATTTCCAGGTTTGCATTGACTGACATTCGGATACCTCTGCTGGGTATGTCGACAGACCGTTGCCCTGTACGCGAGGCTGGAGTAGACGTTCAAACACTGTACGTTATCCTTTCACACAGTGGAGAGTAGTGTCGTATGCATTACTCGTAGTAGTGTCCTGTGTCGTTCACCCATCCGGAGCTAGTCCCGAACCTATTGGCAACCCTATATGTGCTCTGCCATGAATTAGCTCGTAACACAATGGCAAATAGTGTCATCGGGTCTCCACTACTCTCCACTCGCATATTCGAGAGCTGGGGTGAAACAGCAGTAGCATAGCTGTGGTGGTAGCTTTGCTTTGACAGGTATCGCGATCTGATTGAAGAATCAGTAAACCTCGGCGAGATAGGTCCATGGGCACGAGAGGGTATCGACTTCGACCTCACCCCTAATGTTGGATGCCGAGTTGTCATTAAAACCATAGCGCGCCCTCTAGTGGTGAAGCCGGTGGCACTACATTCTGAGGAAGAATGGAAACTTGACTGGGGAGAAAACATCAAGCGGAACATGCTCCTCGATGTGATTCCACAGTGGGTGCTGGCGTCCGGTTACTCTCGCTTGGTTTTAGTTCTACCTGCCTCGTGGAAGCTATGCGACGATGCTCTTACGCGAGCTTGGGGTTCATCAAGATCTTGGGCAGCTTGGTGGCGGCGATTGAATCAGTTGAATTGACATGTTCTGCACGAATTCAACGTTTCTGTTCACGTTTCTGATCGAATCATTCTGGTGTTGGAGGTTCTGAGCTGAGATCAACTATAATCACAACCACCGATTGCGCTCTTGCCGAACGACACGCTTCATCACGCCCCGAAGGCACGACAGAGACCTCATCTACACCTGTGCATACCAGCTGTGGAATAATAATTGATAGAATACACAACTTGTGTATGCCACCCTTTAGAACACGCCCCTGTCAAGGTTCAAACGCGCCAAAAAATTAGCGGTTAATTTTCTAGTGTTTGAGCTCCAAATGTCCCACGTGAGGAGCTCTGGAAGATCACAAGAGTAAGTGCCATGCCGAGTTTACTACACACCCGTGCACAGAACAGGCATCAGTGAATCGTTCGATCACGTGGGCATCCTTATCGGGTGAGTTAACCCAACTCAGCAAGCTTGTCCAATAACCCCCTCAGTGTTTGAAAGTACAGAGAACATCACGACGGCACTGATGATGATCGTAGCAAACAACCTCTTGCTACCCAAACTGAATTAACTTTAGTCATATCTAAGCGTACCAGAAACGGTCGAATACACACACAATCCATGGAGGACTATCCAGCAGAGGCAGACATGCTATTCGAGGCATCTCGCGCTTCCTCTGTGGTACCGTCAGAAGAGGGTCTCTCATCTCGTTTGGTAAGGATGGATGAGGACGTGCTTCGATCTTCTTCTTCCAAGCCAGACCTAGGAGGGAACCCATGCAACACTACGGGTCCGAATTTTCAATAATTTCCCCGCTTCTAACGAAAAATCATTTCCAGCCGACTGCTGATGAAATACCCGAGACGCATCGACTTCTATTAACGACGTTAAGTAGAAAACAAAGCAATGATGAATTCTCATATCGCACATATGCATCCACTGGTACTATAAAACTAGTGAGCAGGACCTCACCGTTGGCTCTTAACACGCTCGGCGAATTCCCCGACATTCTCCAGACATCCTTCCGGGTCATTCTTGAAGAAAAGAAAATACCCCTGTATGTCTGCTAGCGACAATGGCGTCCCCTCGAGTTTCCTGAGCTCAGCGTAAACTCACTTCCTACTGTGAAGTCGAACCCACCGCGCGAATTCCTCCGCCCATTCAGTCGAGTCAGGGTAGAATCGCATAAACATTCGCTGCATCTGGTCACGAGTCGCCAGGCCGACGTGGACTTTTACGTCCACTCTACCTGATAACAGCAGTCCACCGCTTTAAACATGCAATAGCACCAACCTGGACGGACCAAAACTGGCGGGAGGAAAGAGGGCCTATTGGTAGTCATGAAAACAAGGCGCTCCTCAGTAGACCCCACACCGTCCAAGGCGTTAAGGAGACCAGAAAAGGTCATAGGACGTATGCCTGGGGGGGAGAAGGACGACAGAGACTATCGGCTGAGCATGGCCAGTCACCCTGGCGTCGGGGGTCTTGTGGTTTTTCAGAAGGCTCGTACTCCGGTAAAACACAATCGACATCTTCGAGAAGGATAAGGCATCTGAGGGGAACACCTTCACCACGACCAGAGAGTCTGTGATGGTTACTTGGGAGGGACCGTGGCTAGAAGGCGCTGTAGACGGTCATCGGACATGGTCGGATCGCCGAGGTTAAGAACCGCTATATTGTACCTCAGCAGCGCCTAGCTGTGGTACTATTTATAAATAGATTATCATTAATGTATCATCATAATATGTTTATAAGGTTATGAAAATAATACATAGATAATCAGATGGATTGATACCAAATGTTGTCGAATATTCAATCTATATCGGAGTTTCACCCGTTTCACGTGAAGTGGCGTCGTAATACTCTGTGAAAACCCGATATTCGCGGTGATATGCAGTATTCGTGAAATATATTTTTCACTAGTGTTTTTCATATCACTAGGGTCGTGAAACTCCATTGATATCATTATATTCTATACTAGCTGTGCTACTGCATCCTAAGGGGTATTATGTTATTCTCGAGAAATGACTCGCCTTACGGACGAGCGCCGCGACTGGGGATCGAACCCGGCTCAGGAGGACGGCCTTGAAGGGCACTTTTTCATACGCATTACTCCGATACAGTATTTCTCCTACGACGAATGATCGTTTTTCTCTACTACTCGAAAAATTTCAGTGTGTATACTCGTTTTTCCTTCATATGGATTCTATCACGACGGTAACAGGAAGCGAAAAAAGAAAGGTAGTAAGTACTGTATGTGGCCAGCCAAAGCCATTATATAGCTGGTCTTCCCACACCCCGGAGGGCCATAAAATAGGTAGCCCCTACGATAGGGTATACCACGCTGTAGATACCTGACCGGCTAGGGTGGGAGAGGCAGTGTGGAAAAATATTGGCACCAACATGTGTTGGTGCCAATATGAAAATTCTGAGGAAATTTTTCTTGTTGGTTTTTGAATATTTCTACCCGAAATCATGTGAAAACTCCTATGATGAGCTCAGCTGAAGAAAGGGAGCATCATGTATTACACCACTGGGGAGAGAAGACGCGGATGACGCCCTTACCAGGAGCCAGTAGAGAGGAACTCCTTCACGTCTGAGGCGATGGTCTCAGCAGCTGCGCCGTCCAGGATCACTGATATCAACGACCACACCAACCGCTATAGAAAAATCACTAGGCTTGTTAGACTTCGATTATTCACGCTAGAAAGCCCATTTTTGTTGTAATCCTCACCTGATTCGAATGGCCGTACAGTTTTGGGGTTCCCAAAGGGACGCCATTCATGACCAGTAGCATTGTATATGACCGTCTTGCCCTCTTCCCTGTTCGCCGCCATACTCTGGGCCTCCACAAGGAGCTCTGATGAGGGCGACTAACACCCATCGCAGAAGCGAAATGATGATACCTTCAAATTTCCCAACGTTCCATGCTAGTGTTGTAAGTGTGAGAGTCTCCCACGGAGAGCCGGTAGTAATGTCCACCGTCGAATTGTTCCTTTCCCGCTCCACCAACATCCAGGCACCTGTTAGCCTCCATAGGGGGGGGGGGGAGGAATATTGGGAAAATTTTTGGGAAATTTTTTTATGGTTTCTGTACAATTTTTTACCCAAATTCTTATGAAAACTTCCATAATTAGTAAGAAAATTCCCGAATTCAGATGAGAAAAGCAAACATATACTCCAACACTGATTCGACGTGCCTCCACGTACCATTAAACTTCATAAAGTGCCGACCAGTACTAGGGATGAAATCAAACGACGTCGTCATCCGGCCGGCCATATCTTTACAGTGGTTAGTCTCGACTCCTGAGCACGATAGGACCCCTCCCCCCTAAAGGTAAGCACATCAGCTGTACCTATATGCTGAGTATAGTTGCCGTTGTTGGCCACCAGCCACTGCATGACCCACTGGTATGAGTAGTCCTTACTAGGAATTTCCAACGAACACAGTGCTCGCCGACGGAACACCGTTTGCAAGCTCGTTGCTGAAGAAGAGGATTCCCTCACCGTAATAAGAGGATGAGGTTTTTTTACACATGTTGGTGAAAAAAAATGGAAATTCCGAGGAAATTTCCGGAAAAATTATCATTGGTTTTTATATAAAATTCCCCGTAAACCCACGAATGGACCAAATATATATTCCCCCACTGGCAAGGACAGCGTAGAGATACTTACTGGAGCTCCTCAGGAGGCCCATAACGGCGCCTACGCCCACTAGGCCGAAACCAGCACCAAA